GATGATTTTTCTAAACATAAAGCCACAAGCATGAACATCTAGCGCGAAAGATATGCTCACAGCATAGAAGCTTTCATGAGAGACTTATAGATAATTGGAATGAAAAACAGAAAGCCGCAAGCATAAATATTCGACATGAATATAGACTAATACATGAAGGTTTAGCATGAACCATAAACTACCACCATTTGACATAATGATTTAACATGCACATTAACTAACATATGAAAATTTTGCATGGTGTATAACATACAAGAACACAGGAATTTGCATGGAATGTAAACCACAATCTCTGTTTTCAAGCATGAGATATAAACCACCTAGCACGTAAGAATTTGTATGGAATATATACCTAGCACAAGGAAAATCTCCTATTATTATGATTATTATTACTATTATTATTACTATTTATGAGACTTATACACAATTATATAGAACACACATTTTCCCCCTTTTTTTATGGGGTTTATATTGTATAGGACATCTACCTAAGCACAAAGGAATAATTTTTTATTGCATGGAAACTAACTTAAGCTCATGGATTTTCTAACATAAACACAAACATAACACTTGGAAATTTGGCCTGCATATACACTACCACATGAACTTTGCATAAAATGCTATCACATAAAGTTTTTCATGAAATACATAGAATTACCGAAAGGATTTTGCATGGAAGAAAAACCTAAGCCACAAAAATAAATTTTCCATTGCATGGCACATAAGCATATGATTTTTTTTAGCATGAAGTACAAATCAAATAGTTCTCACATGCCATGGAAGGGCAATCCATTTTGATGTTTATATTGCATGAAATATATGCCTCTCACATTTATGCTTTTTTTTGATTTGTCATGGGTTTCGTGTAACGGAAGAGAGAGAGAGGAGATTTGGCAAGGTTTTCCAGGTAGGCTAGAGAGAGCGAGAGAGGGTGAGAATTAGAGTTAGGTTTTGGCTGGTCTAGCAAGGAAGAAAAGGTGAGGAAGGAGATTAGGATTTTAGGTAGGCTAGTGAGTGAGGAAGAATGTGAATTAGGGTGAGGTGTCGGCTAGGATTAGTGAGGGAACTAGGATCTGGTCTCGAGTAGGGTGAGTGAGTAATTAGGATGAGGGAGAATTAATGCCTGGGTTTGGCCAAGGCGGTAGGTAGTAGGAAGGGAAAATTGAGTGGGAAATGGTTGGTGGTTTTGAGAATGGAGTAAAGAGGGGAGAGAGAGTACGGTAATTAGGTTTTCGGGTATGGCGTAAAGAGAGTGAAAGAATGGGGTAATTAAGGTTTCAGGTATGGTATAATTGGAGGAAGAAATAAGTGGGTGGGGAAAGGTTGGTTGTTTTGGGTAAGAGGTAACGCAAGAGAGACAGTGAAGATAAAGGTTTCAGATAGAAGAAAAGAAGAGGAAGAAATGAGATGTGTTACATGGTTATTTGGGGGCCTCCATAAATATTTCTATATAAGTAATCGGATATGACATTTGAAGAATGATCGGAAAGAAAAAAAGAAGAGGAAGAAAGGAGATGTGTTACATGGTTGGTGGGTTTTTTTATTATTTGGGGGCCTCTATAAATATTTCTATATAAATAATCGGATATGAAATTCGAAGAATAACATACTATCCCAAAGAAATATATTACCTTAGAATGAATCGACTCATTCAGACGAGGAAAATATTTACAATTTAAGGATATATGGAACCAAAATCCTTTTCTTACCTTACGGATGAAAAATAAGGTTTATTTTATTTTGAGGTCTTGTATCTCTATGAGGGAGCTCCCTCTAGTTAAAGTCCATCTCAAGAATTACTCCTGAGAACACTCTCAATTAAAGTTATGTTGTACATCTCTCTATTTATCAATAAATGTCTGTGGAATGATAGAGTTTGAAAACATGGATAAAAGGGGTAGGCTTGGACAAAGGTTGACTTCACTGGAGCTTTTAAAAAATGTTTATCTCAGGGTTGAGCCCAACAGTTGACAATTAGAATGATGGCACAAAGGTTGAATCTGATTTGAGAAACAAATTTGGAGATGAATTGAATTTGATTGGGTTTGATTTAAATTGATTTATATTTGATTTTAATCAGTTTGGAACAAATTTTGATTGGACTTGAGTTTGATTGAAGTTGATTTGAAATTAAGTAGAGTCAGGTTGAAGGATTAAGTTATGTTGAGGTTGACTTTGATTTGAAAGTAATGAATTTAGAGACATTCTAGTCTAAGGGGGTAGGAAAGGGTAGATGATTTCTAGTGGAGGCGAAGCCCGAACCTAAACATCTCCAAACAAGAGGCTATAGGTGGACTAACCTAAATTTGGGAGTAACGCACCCGATCAAGATATCCATGACTTTCCATCGTCTCGGGTACATGATGTGTAGAAAATCATGCTTAATTTCTTTTATATTTTATACATTTTTATAGATGAAATTGCATTTTAAAGAAGAATATTTTATGTTTCTCTTGTAGGTACAACATGTAGTGGAAGTGGAACAAAGTGGAAAAGAAATTGAGCGAAGCGGAGGTGACATAGAGCAAAAAGGAACCTAAGGGACTGGCTCCTAAGCACCACTTTCGTGGGGGCCTAGGCGCCCATGCCCGAACCGGTCTGAAACTGCAGTTTTCAACAGTTACTCCTACACAATTTGAGGAGTTATGTAGATGATATAGGGGATTCTAAGGAGATGTTTTGAAAGGAGAACACTTCTGAAGCCCAAGGAGAAGTCTACGTAAAGTCTAGAGTTAGATTCTAAGTTAGATTTGCTTTTACATGGAGAGTTTGGTGAGATTAGTGAGTCGCATTGAAGAGAAGACATTCAGCACTATAGTGAGGATTGGGAGATCCTTTGGAGAGGAATTTCCAATATTTTGTAAAGGGAAAAAACTAAGTATTGTGTACACTTTTATATTATAATTTTTTTTAAGCACGGTTCTAGGGGATTTGCTTTTTCTCAAAGATGTGTTGTGGAGTTTTCTCCGTGCTTTATGAGTAACCTTTCTATCTTTTGTCCTGTGGTGAATAAACAGGTTGTGTAAGAATATTATAATGCTTTTAAAATTGATTTTCAATCTTTAATGTGATGAGTATTCTTCAAAACTTCATTTTATGGTCAAATGATTATTTAAAATGTGTTGTGATCCATAATGACTCGCGAGAGCAATGAAAGAACGATTAGAGTATTCACGTTGAACTATATGGTATGAGGCAAAAGTAAACTATAGAGAAATGCAAATAGATAGGGAAATAATATTTGATGGGTTCAAATTGGTGTTTAAGGAATTAAAACCAGTTTAATTAAATTTCTTTATGCACTCAGGAGAGGGTAAAGAAGAGAGCTACTACTATTTGTCACTGGCCATACTTACAATGTAAAATATTCATTTCCTACACATCACTTATATCTTTGCAAGGGAGGTAGCTTTATAATTTGATTATCACCTATCCAAATATATTTAGTTAGAATTTTTGTAGAGGAGTAAACCTTCAAGAGTAGTTTGTAATTCAGTAAAACTAATTAACACAACTTAAAACCAACTTCACTTCTAAGCTAAGACTGATTTTAGTAGGCTAGAACTTCTCTTAAGTTTAATTGTCTCACTCCATGTGGGATCAATATTCCGGGCTCAAAGTCTGATATTACTGATACGAAACGTACACTTGCATGAGGCCCTACACTTGGAATTAGATCCTGTTAAGATTTTGGCGTTGTTGTAGAGTGTATCGAGTATTTTGGCGCCATTATCAGGGAGTGATGGTGCAGTTAACTAAGGAAAATTTTAGTTGAACCAATTAGACTTAGACTTAGAAATTTGTATCGTTAGTCTTTGCATGTAATTATTTGTTTGTTTGAAAAAGATAAAAAATGTAAAAAATATTTTTGTTTGTTTGTGTAAATCATACATAAAAGAGTCTCCAGTTGTATATGCGTAGTTCAGCACCTACAAGACTTGTGCCCTACGACTTAGAACTAAAGAGAACTATTAGAAGAATTAGAAAACAAAGAAGACGAATCATACATAAAAGAGTCTCTAGTTGTATATGCGTAGTTCAGGACCTACAAGACTTGTGCCCTACGACTTAGAACTAGAGAGAACTATTAGAAGAATTAGAAAACAAAGAAGACTTCACGATCTTGTAAAAGAAATGACAAACAATTCACAAAACAATATAGAAACACATGAACCAAATTATAACGCACATAGACCATTAAGAGATTATGCTAATCCTATAGTAGATAAAATTCACTTAAATATTCAAACTCCTACCGTAGAAGCTAACACATTTGAACTTAAACTTGCAATTATCTAATAGACCCACACTCTAAGGGAAGGCAACCAACCTACAAACTAGTTAGCTTCTTTGGTTTGTTCCTTTCAAAGTTTTTATGTCTCAAATGTTATTCCTCAACTCTCTTTTATTGCATGGTGACACTTTAACCATGCCTTTTGTCATAAGGTGTAATCCTTCCTAATTCTATAATATATATATTTAGTTTTTTGTTTCATATATATATATATATATATATATATATATTGTATGTGAGCGGAGTGCGTCCAGTCAAGAAACAAGTTACAATACATCAATGATATCAGTTCGGAGCTCACAAGTTTTCTCATGTCAACTTAAGTCTATATCTAACGGACAAACAGCAAATTTTCCAAACCTTTGCCCATTCCTTCTCTTTTCTTCAGCACCTTAAATTACGTTTGAACTTATTATAAAAGTGGAAAGAAAGACAGTTGAATTAAACAAAACTTTCTAAACTAGAAAAAAATAATAATTAAAGGGCAATGTTATTGAACTAAAGCATTGGTACTACTTAACATTATATTTAGTTAAATTCAAGCTTGAATTCAGCTCAAGCTGGATTAAATTAAAATAAACAAGATCAAATTAGAATTTAAAGCAGAAGTCACGATTAAGTACAGGCAAAGCCTTTTTTCTATTTATATACTTCTACAGGGTAAAACTTGTTTGGAATCATTCTCTATTAATCAACCCCTCAAGCATATAATAGAGTGCATGATTTAATTTTATAGAATTCAACAAGAATGATAACACAAGATAATTATTCAATAGTTCTAACTGGCGGTTAGTAGTCTTATTCAGCTAGGCTACCAGGCACCCTCATCCTAACCAACCAAGGTCATAAAGAGGTCCCTTTACACTCGAAACAAAAAGAGGAAAGAAAAGCAATGACTTTTAAAGGAACTTTCTGCCCCAGACTCACCAGGCATTTGGTCTTCCTAAGCAGCTTTCAAGCACCTATATTCTCAATTTCAGCAGCCTTGTCCATCCTCTTCAGTATACCAGCAATGACCTGAATTGGCAAAATGGCAAGAAAAAGAATTAAACTTAACTACACACTAATTGTTGAAGAAGACAAAGAGGCGTGTAATGGAACACAGGTCATGAAACCTTTGGCAAGGGAAGACAGCACTAATTACAAATTAAATTGATAAATGACCATTTTAGCTAAAAGTTTATTTTAGCTATCAATGAAACTTTAAAAAAAAGGACAAGTTTGCAAAAGGGATACTTAATTTTAAAAAAATAACAATAAGATATTAAAAAAAAATATAAAGGAAGCTGGTCACCAAACATGAGCAATTTACCCCCAGCCCTATTAAACACATTAGCAACTTGTCCCCGGCCCCAAGTCCCCCATGGACTGGGCGACTAGGGCTTGGACAGCCTGCTCAACCTGTCGGGCTAATTTCTTTTTGTTTCCGGTTTTAAAACATTTAATACTATACCAACGACAACAAGCCTTCATCCCGCTACATGAATCCTTTTTTTCCATCCTGTCCTATTGAGTGTCATATTTTCATTTAAATCTAACTAAACACTTATGCTTTGGAATGCAAAAAATAGAAGTGTTTATTGTGTTTCAAACCTTTGTGACATATATTGAAACTCAGTTCTTCACTTGTATTAAAATCTTATGATCTAACAATGGTGGTGAATACATGTCTCATGAGTTTCAAGCATTTCTCTATAACAAGGGTCATGTTTGGCAACGTTCATGTCCTTATACACCTCAGCAAAATGGAGTTGTCAAACGAAAAAATCGACATCTGTTGGATATGGTGCGCACATTGTTGTTAAAATCTTCTATTTCAGCTAAGTTTTGGACTGAAGCTTTGTCTACCGCAATTTAGTTGATTAATCATTTAACATCTCAACAATTGAAGATAGATTCTCCCTATCAACGAATTTTTGGTAAACATCCTAATTATAATATGCTACATAATTTTGGATGTATTTGTTTCGTTCATTTACCTGCACATGAACGTCATAAGTTGGCACCCCATTCTATTCAATGTGCCTTCATGGTTTATAGTCCTAGTCATAAATGTTGTGTTATGATTCAATTAAAAATTAATGACGTATCTCACGAGTTGTGATTTTCTTTGAACAAAAATACGATTTTCAGCATCATCTTTCAACATCTAATAGTGTTGTACTTCCTCACTTTGATGATTCTTCATTTGATAAATAGTTCAAGCCTGACATTGTCTACACATAACGCCTTCCCTTCATCTCCATTCCTTCCCGACTCTGCTTCTGAAAATGCTCCAATGATTCTTCGACGATCAACTCGACACATTCGTCCTCCGGATATATATGGCTATTCTACAATTTTAACTAATACAACAGTTCCTATCACTTATTCTCAGGCTGCCAAACAGAATTATTGGATAAAATCCATGCAAGAGGAACTCCACACACTTCAAGACAATCACACTTGGGATATTGTTTCATATCCTAAAAGTGTTAAGCCCATTGGTTGTAAATGAGTTTATTCTCTCAAGCTCGGATCTGATGGTTTCCTTAATAAATATAAGACAAGATTGGTAGCTCTTGGCAATCAACAGGAATATAGGATTGTATATGAAGAGACCTTTGCACCTATGGCTAAGATGACAACTGCCCGACTTGTTCTATCTATTGCTGCATTTAAAGGCTAGTTCTTACGACAGATGGATGTTAAGAATGTATTTTTGCATGGGGACCTCAAGAAAGATATCCATATGACTCCCCCTGTAGGCTTGTTTTCTATACTGACGTGATGTTTGTAAGCTCAAACAATCTCTATACGGTTTGAAACAGACTCCACAAGCTTGGTTTGAAAAGTTTCGCAACATTCTTCTTAGCTTCTCTTTTATTCAAAGTCAGAATGATTCTTCATTATTATTTTGCAAACTGATGTTGGAATTGGTTTGTTATTAATTTATGTTGATGATATTGTCTTCACAGGATCTGATACTTAATTGATGTCGTAGTTACAAGAGCGTCTTCAGGGTTCTTTTCATATGAAGGATTTGGGATCTAACTTATCTTAGGTCTTGAGGTTCACTTTTCTCCCGCTGGTATTTTTCTTCATCAGCATAACTATACTAAGAAACTCATTGCTTTAACTTGTCTCCAAGAGGGTCGTCCTGTGATACTCCTTTGGAAGTGAATGTTAAATATCAACGAAATGATGGTGACTTTCTATCTGATACATTTATTTATCGACAACTTATTGAGAGACTCGATTATCTGACTATTACACGTCCTGATATTTCATTTGTTGTGCAACAAGTTAGTCAGTTTATGCAGACACCTAAACATCTTCATTTAGTTGCAGTTCAAAATATTGTTTGGTATTTAAAAGGTACTTCTCATCATGGTTTGTTTTTTTCTGCAGTCTCCTATTCGCTTAATAATCTATAGTGATGTTGATTGGGCTAGTTGTTCTGATACACGTCGGTCTATTACTGGTTGGTGTATATTTCTCAGCAACTCTTTAATTTCTTGAAAGAATAAGAAACAAGATCGAGTGTCTAAGACTTCTACTAAGTCTAAATATCGTGCTATGTCATCTGCTTGTTCTGAAATCATTTAGCTTCAGGGCTTGTTGGCTGAGCTTGATTTTCCTCAACTTGAGTCTACTTCTCTTTATACAGATAATACTAGTGTTATCCACATTACTGTTAATCTTGCCTTTCATGAGCGCACGAAACACATTGAAATGAACTGTCATTCTATTCGAGAAGCTTATGATGATGTTGTTATTTCTCTTTCTCATATATCTTCTGATCTTCAAAGGACTGATATATTTACTAACGCTCTTTCTCGGTAGTTTCATCAGTTTCTTGTTGACAAATTGATTCTTCTTGATCGGTCAAGATCAATTTGAGAGGGGATACCAAACAAGAATGACAGAAATCTGACAGCTAGAATTAGAAGTTGCCTTATTTAAATTAAGAGTTTCCTATAATTAGGAGTTTCCTAGTGAAATTACTTCCAATTTTCTCGCCTGATTTATCTCTCTTGTTAATTGTTCAAATTCTTTCCTTATAGCTGAATATATTCAGATTAGGAATATGTATTAGATTACCTAAAATAGATTGTACAAATTATTATTTATTGGAATGAAAGCAAAGGAAAAGGCATTCAACCAATTTTCTCAAAAGTTGTTACATATTAAGAATACCACTTTAACTAACTTTTAAAAAGTCAAATGCAATTTTTATGCAAAGATTTATAGCATCAAAGTGTAATAAGTAAAAGCATTTTAAGTGTTACATGTGTAAATTTATAAGAAATGTATGGTACCTATGTAAATTTCTCTAAAAATTCTACTCAACTTTATAATTATTTAGCAAAATCTTAATGATAACAAAAACATTATATTCATTAGAGACATTCACATATTAGTGATCATTTATATGATTATACAATAACGGTAATACAAAATATAAAGTAGCCATTGATGTCATTTGCGTCGAAGTGAAAAGACATGCAACCCTGATGTCCATCAATCTGACTCACTTCTTGGTCATTCCCGGAAACCATGACTTATTCCACTTTAATTATTATCATCTCTTATGTCTTCTTGCATTATTGAGTGTTGTTGACCAAAAATATTATCCAAATTTGAAGGAAAAAAATAAATAAATAAAGCGACCTTGTTGGTGATCATTCCTGAATTGGTGTGAACGATATTGTATGACCATATGGTAGAGATTCACTTTGTTTTTTTATAATTGCAGCATTTTGATGTAAATCCCATCCAAGATTTAAATATAGCAATTGTTCTTGAAACTGTAAGGAAAAAAATTATAGCAGCTCTAAAGTGCCACTCGATTCAAAAAGTCTTGTGGTAATGTAGGATAACTTGTAGCTATGTCATCACTGGTACACCTTTTTGTTGTCTAGTATCTTCAGAGTACCCTAAAGAACTAAGTTGTCAGAACTCTTTATTGGAAGTATCAACGGTGAGGCATCATTTCACTAGCATATCTCTCATCACCACAATAAAATGATTGGAATACATCTTCAATTCAATCAATTATCTTTTCCTATAATAAATAATAAATAATATTTAAATTATATGTTAAATTTAGATGAAAATGAAATGTAATTACATAATTTCATTCTAAATGTCATATGAAAATAAGTTACAATGAAGATAAAAAATTGTATCAATATAAGTAACAAGTTATTGCAAGATAATCATTATTTGGTGTGAAAATGAGATCTACAACATAAGCGTATGTATGATTTCATAACTCTATGGCTGATTGAAAGTAGTCAAACAAATCAATATTTGTCTTACATCTATCGTCCACAAGTTTAAAGTTTAAATTCATTAGCTCTACATCAAGCTATAGCTATCTTCCAAATTATCCTATGACATGATACTACAAGTTGATTCTACGCATTTTCAAAATATTAGTAGCACTTGTGTTCTCAAAACTCTAAAACCTAAAATGCACAATAATGTTAGAAAAAAACAAATCCTACGGCCATGGGGTCCAAGTTAAATTCAAAGTAAATAAATATTATCCCTCAAACCATCCAATTCATTGCAATAAAACTTTATATTATTTAGAGGTACTTATCTTATCTTATGCTCATTTTAGTTATATTTATTTTGAATATTTGAAGAAACAAATCATAATATAATAAATCGTGTATTTAATAAAATTATTATACCTAAATCCAAATGATATTTCTGAAATTTCATTAGGGTAAAGTACAGATAATATCAAAAGATTAATATATAAGACTCCTGAGCACAAATATGTAAGAGGTACAAACATCCAACTATACTTATTCCATTAGGCTTTGTAGCCACTTGGAACTTTCTATAAATGTGTGTTAGTACGGAGACACCGAACAAGTACTTAGAAAATGCTTCTAAATTTTCTAACAAAAATAGATATTATAAATATATTACAAAGCTGGATATATCTGAATTAAAAAGCATCCAATAACAAAAATAATATATACATTTATTTAGTTTTATATTTGTGAGGTTCATATATG